TTGTACCATCACTGTCATTCACGATTCCTTGAGTTGCTTCGGAAGCATTGTCTCTGAGAATGACTATCTGGCCCAAATCTACTCTCATTCAAGTCACTGGCAAAATTCCTATCAACTAGCAAAGACACAGGACTGGATCCCTTGACTGCAAGGGGTATACATACCTCTAATTACACTGTGTGCAGCATATGGTCACAAGTGCTATCCAGCATTCCAAAATGAATAGAAGAGGCTGGTGACTTCAGTGAGTGAATTGACTAAAATGCTACACCGTGACTTACGCAGAAATGACTTAAAACACCAGAGAAAGATACTACTGTGGGGGAAATCACAGTAGGCAAATGCAGTCTTCTCACCTTGAGATACTCCTGATATTCAAGAATAAAAGTGAATCTAACACCAGGGACACTTGCATTTTAAACCGGGGGAATCTCTCCATTGATCAAAAATTAAAAAGACAAGCATCTGTTTCAAGCATGTGTGGTTCACAGCTCTTATGACTATTTCCGATTAAAAATCATGTACGTGCTTCATTTTCCAACACTCCTAGAAAAACTGATAAATCAAAAAGCATCCTTAAAAATGTTTTCTACTCTGCACATGTTTTTGAAAAGAGCTTTGTGTGTTTCACTGCTGGTGAGGCAATGTTACTTAACATTTAGAAAAACATAGGAAATAAAGCTATACACGAATCTAAAAGACGTTGTAGGCAAAAAGAAACAGTTTTAGAGGTAGTAGGTACCATTCTACTCTAGGACCTGGACTGAAGGTAGTTCCTTTTCAAATTTAGCAGTGGAACAATTAATAAAGGAACCCATTAAGGTCTGATTGTTGCTGCTAAAAAGGAAGGTTGAATTTCAGTCCTTTGAAGTAACTGAGAATGATTCAGGCCTCATTACAGAGATATAATCTACATTCATACATTTATGTTAGTGATTCAAATCTATTGGGACAGATTGAATTCCGTTAAATAGTGCATCTTTCCTGTGGAACTTTTCTCAGGCTTTCTCAGGCTAACCTAAGAGGTGACCTAACAATACAAAGTAGTGGGGTATTTAGGGATTCAACTGTGCTATAAAAGAAAGGCTATACAGCAAGTAGAAAAAAGAATGAGATATAATCTAAAAAGCTATGTCAGCTTTTCATTTGGGTTCTGTTTTGTAAATGCCCTCCCTGTCATCACACGGTATAGAAAAGGGCTCTATGTGTTGTAGTCGTTTTAAGTATTGCACTGAGTATTGCACCTGCCAGAGTCAGATTTAACATGGAATTCTGGACATGCAGCTTTATTTTTGCACAAATTAGAAATAGGTCTAAGCAGAATTTCTCACTTGAGCAGAAAGTTCTTTAGTGTGGCTTCAAAAGAATGAGACTGATTTTTTAAAAAGTAGGAAAAAAGACCATCCTTTTGCAAATTCACTGATACTTTTCCTTGCCAGCTCAGAAAAATTAAAATATCGAGTTGCTGCATTTTGTGACATCTGACAGCAAAAAGGGCACTTATTTGACTGCTTCACAAAATATACCATTTAAAAGACTCGGATTTTTAATTACATGTCATCTAAAATTTCAGCAATCAGCTGAACATCTCTTGCTGAAATTCCTCAGAAAACCTTATGGCCTATCTTTCAGGATTCATGCCGGCACGTATAAACTGTGAAAATTGAAATTAGGATTGTGGGCCACATTAAAAGAGTTATCAAACATTCATTTTAGAGCAGGCTTATGCTTTTCATTCGCTTTTTGTTTCCTTCTTTCAATTTAGCAAAGTTACAAAATAGTGATTGAACAAAGTTACAAAATAACTCCTGAATCAAATTAAACCCAAAAAGTTTCTGAAGTGTTTACCACAGGGTCCAAGTATGAAGAATAAATATTCTGAAGTAGCATAAACAATGCCATAAAACATACTGATTCACTGGTTTCATTTTAAGGCGGTTTAAATGTCACCCCCTTAAACCAAGACCATAAATTTAAAAGCGGACTCTTTCCGAACAGAGTACACAGCAGAACTGGAGAAAATCATTTCTAATTTTCTGCCAGGAAGTTAACAATATATTTAAGAACCCAACCTAAGAAGTCAATCTACCCTTAGAATTATTTGTCTTTTCTGTATTCTTCTGTTGGGAGCCAGAGTAATAATAAATGCACACTATACTGGCAAACTATACTCCATGTTATTCCCCTTCCAGTGCACCTATCCCAAGCAAACCACATAACTGTTTTTTCATATAAAGTAAGTTTCCTTCTCCACTCTTCTCTTGGCTTATTCATAACCATTGCATTGCCTTTGATTGTTTTACAGGCATGCATAAGGATGCACGCTGTCCTTCCCTTGTCTGAGCAGAGGGAACCTCGGAGGCCTTATTACTGTCTATACATTCAATACGTCACAAAGGAGCCTGGTCACTGCTAGTAAATGCCATAACTCGGGACAAGAGCAGTGTTTGCATCTGTCAGGACAGTCACTGCGACATGGCAGGTCCATTGGAAGCTCTGGCCAGGACTCCAACTTCTGCAGAGTCAAAAAACAGGAACACCAGGCACCCCTGGCCAAGGAGAACAGTTTGAAAAATGGCTTTTGAATAGTTTTAAAAATGGAAAATATGCCTCTTTCTGGCCAAGGAAATTGCCTTATGCAGAAAAGGGGGGTATGTGTGTGTGGGGGGAGATGGCACAACGTTCAGCCAGATTTTATGGGGAAACCTTTGCAATCCCAATAAAAGCCCCTTTTGCTTTGATGTCAGACTCATAATTCAGTAAATGACTCATGTTAGCAATTAGAAAATGGTCATTTAGGTCCCTGATTTCATGGGAGACAAGGAGGGCGAGGGAAGGAGAGACACGATAAATCTTGAGAGGCTTAAAAGGAAGAGCAGGCTCAAGTGTGAACTTTTTATTTCAGCAACGGAAGCAAGAAATCAATGATTCATTAAAGGAGCAGAGAGACCTCCATGGAAGCTGGCAGAGGGGAAGGAAAGGGAGCTAATTATGTCTCTTCCTTTTTACTCTC